TAATAGTAAAAATACCAGCAAAAATTTTATATAAAAAGACTGACAATACATGACCAGCATTATGTATTTTATCTTTAATCGAAGGCATACAATTGTGTTCAAAGTAAATTTAATTGAAGCGATAAAATTATGTCCAAATATGTTTTATTTATATTTCAGCATTAAATAACCCATATATACCGCCAAACCAATTCAAAAAACGAGACCATTCGCGTGAATTTGATTTTGAACACTTGGCCAGAAGACCTCCACTTGCGGTTCAGTGGAGACTGAGACAGGTAAAACCGGTTTCATCACGCTGTAGGATGATTGGTCTGTCAATATATATATATATATATATATATATATATATATATATATATATATGGGGTGATAGAAAGCGAAAAAAGAGTTTTAAGAGGTCATTCGCGTGAATTTGATTTTGGCGAACGGAGAAGCCCACACACTTGGACAGAAGTGCCTCCCTTACGGCTCAAAGGGGTTTGAGACAGGCGATATATAGCAAACTTAGATGCATCGGGTTGTCGGATACTTGGCCTGTCAAGGTCCGCCTTAGTTAGTCCAAACAGAATGGTGCTACCCTCTTCCGCCTGTTTGGTTTTGAGATGTGTAGATCTTTACCTATTCCGCCGTTGGAGGTTTTCGGGGGTTGGATCTCGTTTAGTCTGGTTCTCCCTCTTCGAACTTAGCTTCATGAATGGCCCTGAAGATGTTGGAACTCTGCTCTTGGGCCACAGGGGCCAGTAAGCCGTCTACCATGACAAGGAATGGTCATATATATTTTACAATGGAATTAAACAGACTCCGAAGCTTCTCAAGTGTGAATGTGCTTGTATGCACTGGTACGAACTGCAGGTGCTCCGATCAACTGTTAATGAAACCGGAACTTTAGTGGAGCAATCATGTCTAATGCCGGTGTTCATGTGTCTAGCAGCTTGTGTTGCAACTGAATACGGTGAGGTTATCATAGTGTACAAAAAAACGCGATGATGGCGGGTGAAGGTATGAAAATCAGAAGGCAGCAAAAGACCTGGATAACCATTACAAATATGTCTTAGTAATGGCAAGTGGAGATTACGACGACCTGACGTTAAAACCAATATGACAAACAAAAAATTGCCATGCAGTCGGACTGCATATCTGTGCATGGCGCTTAAACGCTACCGGGCGGGTTATCTACAGCACCTCTATGTAGGTTATGTTTCTAGCACAGTTGTTGGGAGCGTAAATGAAAACCCTGTCCATAGACCTAACTCGTGAGCACCCAATGTAATGTTGGTCGTGAGAGAAGCACTGCTCACGTAAATGCAGACCTGCGATGCTAACCGTCTGTCCTTGTGATTTGTTAATGGACATAGCAAAGCAAAGCTTCACGGGAAATTGTGAGCGACGAAAGTTGATTGGTATGTTTGCGTCTGACGGCAGAAGATGCATCCTGGGAATCAGAACGACTTCCCCATTGCCGCAGCCATTTGGAATGGTCTCCTCAATCAGGTTCGGAGAAAGGGATTTAATAATTAGGCGTGTCCCGGTGCATTGTTTAGGTGGGAGCAAATTCCTGATTAGCATAATCGGAGCACCAACTTTGAGCCAATAAAATATATGAGGTGGGAGTCCGGACGGCTGAAAGGAGTTCAAAACTTCTATAGGATACTCAGCTAATTCAGATGGATCGGAAGTTCTGTCGATGGACTTATAAACATGACATTGCCCCCGGGAATGCAATCCAACACTTTAAGAAATCAACTGTACAGTTCTTCGGTACCAATATGGCCCTCCCAGCAAGCTAATCGGCATCGGCAAAATTAGTGGATAGGTTGTAGAAGACTGCATTCATCATCCGGTGATTCAACAGTGGTGGCAAGCTGATCCATCTACACAAAACCCTGTGTGTCAGATGGCATTTTCCCCTTCCCAAGAGCAAGAAGGTTCCGTGCGAAGTCAGCGGATCTGGAGTCCACTTTCAAGTAGACACGCATGTTCGTGCTCAGTTTAAGAGTCTCCATATGGCGCCAAAGGGCAGACGACTTCAAGCAGGCGCGGACAGCGTCAGCGTGTGTACCTTTAGAAATAACAGGTAGAGTCTGCCTAAAGTCGCCTGCGAGGAGAAGGGTTACTCCACCCATGGGGTCGGAGGAGTTGGGGATGACTTGGAGACTTCGGTCAAGTGCCTCAAGGGCGCCCTTGTGTGCCATCGTGCACTCATTCCAAACTATAAGTTTGCATCTCCGCAGAACTTCAGCCTGTGGCAAATTCTTTGTTATGTTGCAGAGAGGAGTTTGTGACCGGCATAGATCAAGCGGCAACCTAAAAGCCGAATGAGCGGTTCTACTTCCCGGTAGTAACGTTGCAGCAATCCCGGAAGATGCAACCGCAACAGCGATCTCCCCACGACGCCGTACCTCTGCCAGGACTAATTTAGTAACAAAAGTTTTGCCGGTTCCTCCGGGTGCATCTAAAAAGTATATACGTCCACTGAAGCCGTTTGCCCTGTCTGTTATGGTAGTGAAAGCAACCCTCTGATCAGGTAGAAGTTTGGGCTCGTTTTCGGTATTGTATGCGTTCAGCCCCTCGATGAAGTAGGATGTTTCCCGCAATAACTCAGTTGGTACAGTGTCAAAACCATCTGTGAGCCGTGGTGGTAAACCGTAAGTTGGTAAAGAGGCACCTCCCAGTTCGAAAACATCTTCCAGGGCCACCAGCGCTCTGTTGAATATGATGTCAGTGAAACCGCATTCAACTCCTGGGCTGTTACGCTGAACGGAGAACAGCACATCCTCTGACATGGAGTCTCTGTACTTTAGCCAGAGCAACAGAAGATCGCTTAGTTCGCATCGCAAAAGCAAAATGGCGAACAGCGTTCGAAGCCGTGATGGCGTTCTGAGAAGTTCACCCTCCGCCATGGCTGCATCCCATTGGGAGTCGTCTTCAAGCAATCTCAAACGGAAGCATGCCTCTCTATAAGACTGGCACCCTATGCCGTTGACAGTGCGAATATCTGCGAAAATCGTTGGCCCAGCAATTTCATGAAGTAGAAGGCGGAGGTAAAAGCACTCCTGCTGGCGGGGGGGCACATTATAAACGCGTCCAAGGCAAGAGTTAGACCTTACATAGGAATAACCCTCGACAGGGTTGCCAGCCTTTCGCCGAACCCACCGGTTGTTTGACCTCACGTAGTAGGACGGAACTTGGGGGTATATCAATGTTTTGGCAAAAGCATCTGTTGGGCATAATTTAAAGAAAGCCGTTAGGGTTGTGTCTTTAGGGTTTTCCGCAACCTGCTGGGCGTTTTATTCGCTGAAGTACATCCTCTGTCCATTTTCTAAGTGAACAGCAAGCTGCACAATGGCTGGAGCCTTTTGGTGTATGGGGAATCCGAAAATTCGCCAAAAGGTCTCGCTACTACTGAGGTAGCGTCCAGCCACGTAATACGCGGGCAATAAGGCACCACCCAACGATTGTCCAGAGTGTGTCCCTTAACTGTCACAGTTCTGTCGCCATCAGCGGGGCTTCTACGTCTGTACAGTGAGTAACCATCCGTCGCAGTCTGCGTTTCTGAGATAAACTTACGGGAATAACCCTTTGCGCAAGTGGGGCCGCTTGACCAGCCTGACCTTTTTTCGTAATTCGCGCCACAGGGGCCGTGTATCATATTGTTTTTAATCATTTCGTGGAGCAAAGGATCCAGCGCAGGATCCGGAGTTTCAGAACAAATAAAATCGTCTATTTTGTTTGCGTCAGCCTTATCGTTGAGCCATAGCAGAATGTGGGCATGAGGCAATCCGCGTTTCTACCATTTAACTGTATACATATGACACTTAACGCGTCAGAAGACTTACGCATTAAGGATTAAATCCATAAGCTTACACAGCTGTAACCGGAAAACGCGGGCAATTAGGTCAGAGCGGTGTGAGTACGGCTGAGCTGGAAAAAGTTCGCGTGTGATTTCAACCCATTTCGGATTGCACGTGATCGAGACGAACAAATCAGGCCTCCCATAAGGACGGACATAGGTCATTACATCTTGTGTCCTTTCATGCATGTATCGAGGGCCACCAGTTTAAGAGAAAGGCAAAATTCACGGTTTGCCGAGATTGCGTGGATCACCATCAGAACGCAGACCATCACGAAGGTGAATGTAGGAGTCGGTTCTAAGTTTGGATTGGTTTAACTTGATGAATCATAACCTCTTCGATTTTTGCAGCCATGTCAACAGCGAATTCAAGAAATAGTTGACGGCACCTGTGCAAGTGGTTAAATTCACCCTCCCTAACAATAAAAATGTAGGCGTAGTAAGCCCTACAGTAGACCGTCTTTGAGGTCGACATGGAATCGCTGCTTCCCTGGTATATTGGGATTTTGAAGTGGTACCCATCGCTTCCGTATGGAAAAATAAGAGGATACTAGAGACAGTCGTATGAACGGTGGGTTTCCCGGATGCGGCGCAGACGACCGCCCCGGTACCTTATGTCAATGTCACGGCTGGTATGCTCCTCACCGTGGATGACTGCGGCGACTTCATTACATGCAGGAGCATTGAAGCGACGCTCCTGCTCACCGTGAGTCCGTCTTGTCTGAATCGATGACAACGCTGAAAGAGGGCGAAGAGTTGTTTTGTAACGCAAACTTTAATCTTCGGATGTAACTGTTAGTTTCGTGAAGCATGTCTTGTAGACGGAACAGAATGTCTCTACGGGGACCGACGGAAATATCGCTAGGAAGAATGCCCAGACGCGCATCAACCTGCTCGTTGTAGTCAGCGAGAAAGTAAATTTGTAGGAACTGAGGTGACTCACCCTGATCAGCCAAAAGTGATCCCATTAAATGGTAAACCTGGCCTTGCACTTTGAAAGTAGACATCCATTTCCCCTCACTAATTGCCTTCGCACCAAAAGACGACATCTGGAAGCAACAGCTGTACTTCCGTATTGCTTCAAGAAAATGCGTCGACAAGGAAGTTGTACCCAGAAGGAGGTCCCTAAGCGGCTGGGGAGGTTCGTCTAAAGAAGGGAGTTTGATTTTGCCCCCAGAGCAACAAGCCCAGGTTGCTCATCGCCCCACTTTTTTGTGTTGCAAAAAGTGCAAACTTTATCCATGGCCCCTATTTGTACGTCTCTCCTAGTGGAATAGTTGACAGTGCAGACATAATTGTATGCGGCATTTGACCAAAATGACGCAGACGGCGAAGTTACGCCATTCAAAGTAGCTCGAAATTGGTTAATGTTTTCGAGCCGTTGACGGCGTACTTCAGAGTCTTCTGCAGTCCTGGCAGACGCAGTAGAGCGGGCATTTCTAACGCGACGATGAGCGGTTTCTTGGGGTTGTTCCGAATCTCTATAGGCGGCTGTAGCCCTAGTATTCCTAAGACGACGTGAAGTTTTTTGTTCGGGGCTTTCTAAACCCCTGGAGCAAACTTTGGCGGTGGCATTCCGCAAACGACGCAGGGTTTTCTGAGCTGGGGACTGTGAAACCCTCAACCTAGCCACGCGGACTGCGTCCTGTGAATTCTGAAATGAACGTTCTTCAACTGAAAGCCTGGTGCGGCGTGCGGACATGGTTGAAGCCGCTGAAGCCAACCTTTCAGTCCGCACAGCGGCGCTTTCGATAGATAAGCGAGTAGCTGAGCTCGAGGCCATCCGTGAAAGACACAAAGAAGTCTGTTCAGGGGTTTCACTCGCCCTCGCTGCTCTAGCAGCGGAGGCAGATGCCGTGCGCCGTCCCAAAAGCTTCCTCCTTTTAGGTGGCATCCAAACAGTAAAAACGTCAAAGAGGGTAGCTTAAAAAGAGATTTCGACAAATCCAAAACGAAAAGACGTGCACTGCTAACTTAGATACAAAAAGGGGAACAGACAGTAAAATGAGTTCAGATGTTACTAAAGGGGAATTCGAAACTAAAAAAGTGGAAATTTAAAAAGGTAAACCAAGGGTAAATCCAAAAGGAAATGGGTTTTTAGTAAAATTGGTGGGGTTGGGTTGGAACTATAAAACAAAAAAAGCAGCTAGGACAGGTAATCAACAACTTGCGGTGTCCGAAGTAGGCGAATAAAGTAAGCCAAGTGCGTGCACGCGGGCAACAATAAACGCAAAACTGTGAAAGCACGCCTGAGTCACGCAATAGAGGTGGTTGACCTTGAGCGCACTTACACATAAGCTGACGCGCGATCACGCGGGCGCTATAACGTGTGAGAAATCCTGCGCGATGATTGGACAGGCCCCAAGGTCAAGCTCTGGGAAAGCGACCAATGGGCTTGCAGCAGTCTCGGTATTGACACGCGGACTCGGTTGTACGCAGATGTGTGTGTGTAAGGAAGTTACAAAAAAGATTGATCCGCGTGCAGCTACGGTAATTTTTGCCGAAAAATTCTGAAATCTGACACACATAAAGGCAACAGTAAGCCGCAAGTGTGTCGTAAATTTCATTTGAATCAAACCAAAACTGTACATACTGTGCCAGTGAGTGTGTGTTGCAGAGGGCAAAATCCTGTCCCTTGGTACCCCCGTTTATGGTTCCCTGGTCAATCGGCTTTGACAGTCTTGCAAACAATTTGGTACTTGTTAGATAGCCAAGCGTTAGTGCTATCAGAAACTGGACCATTTGCTTTGTTTTGGTGGCTCGGTAACAAAACATCGTCCAAAGACTGCGAAAAATCTGCATAAATGACACTTACCCGTGCATTCAAATTGATTTCGTGCAAAAACAATTGTGTTTTTCCAGTTTTGGGCGCTGTCAGAAGCACCGCCGGGTAATTTTACGTAGTCCTGTAAAGTTTTGTTGAAATCGGTTAAAAAAATGTAGGAAATCCGATCCCATATATAAACGAACACACACACACACACACACACACACAACCTGGGTTTTATAATAAGTAAGATATATTTTCTATGAACACTTAAGTAGAACCATACTATTACTAAATCTCTACTAATATACCAAAACTCTACACAACTACTAGAACTTGTCGATAGATCAAACACAATAGAACATACAATGGATTTCACTTACAAAACAAAATCACACCATAGTTTACCTTTTCTTGACGTCATGTTAATACGCACACATAATAACATACAACTAAAGTTCTATCGTAAATCCACGAACAAAACCAACTCATACATTTCTACTCCCACCACATCAATAAAAAAATAAAAACTGGAGTATTTATAGGGTTCTAATTAAGAGCTCTTAGGATTCCTGTCCAAGGGAGTAAAATACATTGAAAACACTTTCAAACTCCTCCAATACAGGAATTATTTCCTATCTAATGCCAAGCGTTCAAAATCCCCAAAAGAAATATAGGAACATTCACAGAAATTTATAATCCCAACAATGGTGACAATTTTAGATACAAAATTGTATTTATCAAATTCATAACAGTCGCCATCTAAAATAATATATCCAGACTTTCTCTAAAACTCATCATCACTACGATCCTTGAAAATCCATTAGTAGCTGCTAATAAAGAGGACAACTGAGATCTACATTGAATAGGATAACCTCAAATCCGACGCAAATACATGACTTTAATACAAAAATTAAATAAAGAACAGTTAGTTTTGTACTTCCATTCCAGTCACAATACGCTAACCAAGAAAACAGACATGAACTGTTCAATATAAAAAAAAACAGTTATGTCTTTCCATCTGATCTGACGACGACTAGATAACACAAAAAGATGAAACGCGGGTCTTAAAAATCATTTCCAATCTGTCTGCTTGTATGTCCGTCTGTCTGTTTGTATAGATAGATAGATAGATAGATAGATAGATAGATAGATAGATAGATAGATAGATAATGAAGAGACTGGCAGAGAGGGAGATTTAAAGAGAGATAGGAGGATACTGAGGATAGATAGATAATGAAGAAACTGACAGATAGAGAGAGTTATAGAGAGATAGGAGAATACCGAGGATAGATAGATAGATAGATAGATAGATAGATAGATAGATAGATAGAAAGAAGGATGCTTATTCTTAGAACCAACACAGTGATAACAATTATTTAACTAATTATTTTATTTGAAAATTTCTCTGTTTATCATACGATTTGTGTAATCTCTGGAAACGAATTGGGAGAAGTTCATTAATAAAAGAGGTTATACCGAAATATAAACTGTAGAATGTATATTTGTCCGCTCACTTTTTAGCCCTCGTAAAATAATATTTATTGAATAACCTGAGTTTATTTCAATTAATATTTCTATGATGATAGCAATTCGATTTTATTATGCTTCGCATATGACTCGCCGGCAACTGATGATTCTTTTTATCGATTAGTACTTACTGGCATTTATTAAACACGCGGTTGGCGACCCTTTTTTATGTCTGCTCTCACGGTCATTACTAAGGCGTATTGAACGACTACAGCATCGTTCTTTGTGAAACAAGACTGGGATGGATACGCCCTGAATTGCTCTATCATACGTTAATCCTAGAAATTAACGACACATAATGAATAAGCAATCAAGAAGAATGAAACGATGAAATGATTGTGAATGGAAAAATGATAGCAGATAAAGATGACGGCTGTCAAATTTGTCAGAACACAAGAGATAGCTGACAATTTTCTATCGTTTTCTGTTGGAGCATCCATGGCGTCACGGAAGTAATTCGCTAAACGGCTGAAGATTAATAAGTCTGTCCTTCTCTCCGGGAATTTAGGAGCGGTCGACAAGCGGAATGAAAATGGTTGTTCTTTTTCTATATGCCTCTATTTTCAGGACGTAGGCGGTCATTGTTCTCCACAATTTCCTGTCCTTTGTAGCGCTTTATAAATTATCTTTTTTTGCTATCTCTTCTAAACCCTGTTTCGCAGTCCATTTATTCAAGCTTACTACATTATGCATTGTTTGCCTATGTCGTTCTTGCTTTCAATGTGTCCTGTGAGAATTAAATTTTCAAAGCCCTCTTTCCTCATTCTGTGTCATAGAAATTTCAACTCTGCCAGCTTTCTCTTTTTGTATAAGTTTTCTTTTTGTTCCCATATTTTTCTAAAATTTCATCGTTGCTCACATGTTCGGTCCATAGTATCCTCAGCATCCTTCTGTAGAACATTTCTTCATCTTTGAGGAGATTGCCCAGCATTCATTGCCATATAGGAGAACAGCTATATCATAATAGTTCAGTACTCATTTCTTTGTTTCTAACGTATTTTTCTTGTATCTTAATAATCTGCTTAGCTTTTGGAAGGCATGATTGTTTATCCAAATGGGATTTTGGATTTCAGTATACGCGCATTGGAATATGAAAAGACGCATTTCAAAAGCTAAAGAAACCTTATTATAAATTTTTCATTTTCCTTCAAAATTGTTTGTTGCTCACATTTTCGGTCCACGGTATCCTCAGCAGCCTTCAGTAGAATCATTCTTCTGTTTTTGCAAGTGTCTTCTTCATCTGTAAGGAAATTGTTCAGCATTCACTGTCATATAAGCAAATTTTTCTAATACAATCATTTGCATAAATACGGTTCGCTATATAAAAAAAAGGTTACCTTTCAGTGAGCTTTGTTTGAAATAGAACTAACTGGGTAACAGTTTTAATATAGTTTTAATATTGAGATTAAGCTATTAAATAGGACATCAGTCATCAAATTTATTTTAATATTGAGATGAGGCTATAAAAAGTATTTTCGTCATAAAATTGGTTTAATATTGATATGAGGCTATATTTTTTTAATATGGAGATGAGCCTATAAATATGATTTCTGTCATGAAATTTGCTTTAATATTGCGATGCGGCTATAAAAAGGATTTCTGTCATGAATTTTGCTTTAATATTGCGATGAGGCTATAAAAAGAATTTCCGTCATAAAATTTGCTTTAATATTGCGATGAGGCTATAAAAAGGATTTCTGTCATAAAATTTGCTTTAATATTCCGATGAGACTATAAGAAGAATTTCTGTCATGAAATTTGTTTTAATATTGCGATGAGGCTATAAAAAGAATTTCCGTCATAAATTTTGCTTTATTATTGCGATGAGGCTATAAAAAGGATTTCTGTCATAAATTTTTCTTTAATATTGCGATGAGGCTATAAAAAGGATTTCTGTCAGAAAATTTGCTTTAATATTCCGATGAGACTATAAGAAGAATTTCTGTCATGAAATTTGTTTTAATATTGCGATGAGGCTATAAAAAGAAATTTCCGTCATAAATTTTGCTTTAATATTGCGATGAGGCTATAAAAAGGATTTCTGTCATAAAATTTGCTTTAATATTGCAATAAGGCTATAAAAAGTATTTCTGTCATAAAATTTGCTTTAATATTCCGATGAGACTATAAGAAGAATTTCTGTCATGAAATTTGTTTTAATATTGCGATGAGGCTATAAAAAGAATTTCCGTCATAAATTTTGCTTTAATATTGCGCTGAGGCTTTAAAAAGGATTTCTGTCATAAATTTTTCTTTAATATTGCGATGAGGCTATAAAAAGAAATTTCCGTCATAAATTTTGCTTTAATATTGCGATGAGGCTATAAAAAAGATTTCTGTCATGAAATTTGCTTTAATATTGCGATGAGGCTATAAAAAGAATTTTTATCAAGAAATTTGTTTTTATATTGCAATGAGGCTATAAAAAGGATTTCTGTCATAAAATTTGCTTTAATATTCCGATGAGACTATAAGAAGAATTTATGTCATGAAATTTGTTTTAATATTGCGATGAGGCTATAAAAAGAATTTCCACCATAAATTTTGCTTTAATATTGCGATGAGGCTATAAAAAGGATTTCCGTCATAAAATTTGC